TCGTTTTATAGCCAATATCTAGAACCGAAATACTCAGAAACTATGAGGAGCATTGTAGAGGAAACTATACTTGAAACCTTGAGTCAAGACTTGAAAGCCGGGTGTTGACATCGACACTCTAATTGATTCTGTTCATGTGTGTATATATATATGTATATATATATATATATATGTACACATCCATGTATATGTACTCTCTGCGTACACATATGCATATACCTAGATATCTAAAGCACTGTCTACTCAGAACCTTAAGGTTTGAAACTTGAGAGGAAATTCAAAATATGCGCACGCGTGGCAAGGTGCAGTAGGCAGAAACGTATGTAGTGTTAATACTTTTCGTTACACAAGTAGATGTCGCAGCTTCCAAGCCCGAGTTTTCGGAGTTATTCGACGGCAGCAAAGTTCTTTGCAAAGCCGATTGCGCAATTGCACTTTTCGAGCCTGGCCTGCCTCGTTCTGCTTTTGATGGTCTTTGTAGCCTTGAAACCTTAAACCCTAAACCTAAACCAGAAAGTGCAGCAGAGTGGCTTTGGGCGAACCACGCGTGCTGCGGGTAAAAGTAGATGTCGCAGTTTCCAAGCTCACAAACTCGACTATTGAGAGTCGCTCGGCGGTATCAAAGGTCTTGCATTTGAACTGATGCCCCGAGCATCAGTAGTGTCTTAGCAAAGGAAACCCTTTTCCGCTTACTACACGTTATTGTCGCAGTTGTCTATGAGCTAAAGTGAGCGACACCCTCAACATCAGCAGTGCTTAACGCTTTACCGCCTACTGCAAGTAGGTGTCGCGATAGCTCGGGGACTAAGCCGATCGGCCCTCGCAGCATCACCAGCTTCCGTAGTAAAGGAAGTGCATTTGCGCTGTTTGAATCTAGATGTCATGATAGTTCGGAGGCTAAAGTGGTGGACACCCCCAGCAACACCAGCGCTTTAATTTCGGAAGCGCTTCCCCGCTTACTGAAGATTGAAGCCCGACGTTGCGAGTTTGAATTGTGAGCTGAAGTCGGGGACTGCACGGGCCAAGGTGCCCAACTCAATGATGATATATATATATATATATCTATAGATATACATACATGCGTATAGAGGTACATATACACATGCTTACTTTTTAATATATAACTAAACATATGCACATGTATGTTGATGTGCCTGCTGGCCCCTCTAGTCTATTCCTCCAGACAAAACGGCCCAAGCAGCGCCTTGGATCCGTCAATTCGAGTCCCGAGTCTTGCTGAGGTGAAATACCTGCTGAGCTACGTCCAGAAGCTGCGCGAGGAGAGCGGCTTCATTCAGGCTGGGCGGCAGCCGACCGGGCTTCTTGCTCTGCTGAGGCTCAGAGTTGACTGGGTTGCTTTGGTTTCCCTTGAACATATCCTCGAAAAGACACCATGTCAAGCACAAGAGCATACCCAATGCTTCCTACAACCTGCCGCAGCTTGTGGCTGGTTGCCTCCAAATGCGTCAGGGATCCTTTGCTGGCCATTTCTCCGCTTGATTGATGCGGTTGTTAAATATGCGCATTTGGCCAGGACTAGTTGATTGAAGAGAGCTGCCAGGTCAAGAGCGCTCACACTGTGGGCTCCATCATCCGTGCCTACGGAGCAAGCGAGGAGGGGCAGAAAGGCTGCACGCGTGCCAATTGAGCACAACCCCTATTGACCATTTTAGAAGGTTCTACTCTGAGGCATGATGATGATGTCGAATTCAATGGGTTTGGGGCGCTGCCCAAGCATCAGAACGTACCATGGAAGGATGGAAGGGAGAGAAGGAGGGCCCATATTACCCAGCATGGACTATTCAGCCTTAAAAAATGGATGCATGGATGCGATGACCGTCATCTACCTGAGTCTCTACAAGACGTTTTCCAGCAGGTCTGAGCTCTAAGTGTTGTCAAAGACCAGTTCTCAGGCCAACTTTGATTGATTGCACTGAATTATTGACTTTTACTGACCACAACGTCTCTTGCCTCCCGAACGGACCCAACTCGCCTGCCGGCCCCATGCAGCCACGATCCAGTCTGGTGCAGGATCTGGATGGCGTTTGGGCCACATGGAACGAGATGAAGCGGAAGCAGGTTCAACCTACTCGGATTACTCTGGGGTGCATGGTGGAGGTGCGGCCAAGCTTGCTGCATTTTTCAGACACACGTCACATGTGTCACACAATCATTTGCCAAAACTCATGTGTCACGATGGATGCTTTCTTGTCCCATTGACAAGGGGGCTCATGCCTACACTTCATCAAAAGACAAGAACCGACGCGTCCTGTCATGGAACCACGCGACCTGCAGGCATTGGCTTGCAATGACGATGCCGAAGGCAAGGCATCACCCCACGCTTCTCTCATGGTCAAGAGTCTGAACAGGCGCTTACGAGATCATCCAGCAGGCCGGCACTGAGGGCAGCTTGTGAGGATGGAACAGCATGTGTGTTGCTGTTCAGTTTGGATGTGAAGGCACTGGCAGATCCTCAAACGGCAGGCCTGGTGAATGCAGCACCTTGTTTGCATGTGGTGGGTTGACACATGTACAGAAGGAAGCTATTTCGGCAACATTTTTGAAAGGACATATTTTGATGGTTTCACGAGACATGCGCTGTGCAACCGCAAGGCACGCAAGCAAGCAGGCAAGGTTTATTTGACTTCCTTACAGGAACTCAATCTGTTGCCAAGCGAGCTTGGGATTTGCCGATGAGACTTGTTTCTTGTTGACCCTTCTGGGACAAGCACTTTCGAGGTGAACCCTCTCGACAACAGCAACTCGATAACTCCTGCGTTGTTTTAGAACCGCGTCCCGCAATCTCCTGCAGTAGCAGCAGGTTTCGGGTCAACATCTTGGGCACTCACGCCGCTTCTTGCTAGATGGTTGCTGCTTGCTTGCTCACGCGCATGCTGGCTGGCTCGCTCACTCGCTCCCTTGCTTGCTACGACCACCGTACTTGGAAGAACCACACAACCCCTCTCCATTGCCCAATCGAAAGAGCAAAGAACTGATTTTGAGAGTGCTGATATTCATTTGAGGTCACATACAGCTCGGTTCTGAAAAGCTTCAATCACCAGAAGCGCTTCCACCGTGTTTGGGAAATCTACGAGGAGCGGTCTTGGGCATGCAGACGGGAGCAGAAGTGATGGCCATTTGGAACATGGCAGGAAATGATCCGACAGAAGGTCGAGTTCTCCGTGACTACCTACAACGCACTCCTCGATGTGCGCAGCTTATTCTAGGAGCTTGGCTGATGCTCAATCAGTTTTGAGCGAAGAGCTTCCAGATCATTTCTAGATAGCAATTAACAGGAGAAGTTGTTTTGCATTTGACGAGCTCGAACAATCCTGGGATAGATGCCTGTCCTCAGCTGCACCCTGGCCGGAGGTTTGTGCACGCAGCGGCGAGATCGGGCGTGCAGAGCCGCTTCTCAAGGCAGGGAAGTCTTTGGGATAGACTGTTCTCAGGACCTTGTGCCTTCAGCCTTATAAAGACGCCGTCGGACACTTTTGTGTACATCATTTACATGGGATTTATGTTCCCTCGGCATTTTTGTGAGGGGTCCCGTAAACATTCACCACCAGCTGATTTGGTCGCTTTGCAAACTTTGGCGAGGACATGTCAGAGCAAGGCGTGACACCCAACATCATCACGTTCGGGACAGACTCTTGGCTGGAGGTCTTGAGGCCTCGAGAGCGGGTTGAATCGAGCGATTCGTGAAGACTTCGACTTCGACCTGAGCGACCTGAGGTGATCAAGGCGTATTGTTCTGCCAACAGGCTTGATCAGGCCAGTGGTGGGCCAGTGGTGGGCTTCATGAGCGTCCCTCAACAGTTGAACCTGAGCTTGGCAGACCGGCCGCAGTGGACGAAAGTAGACGTGATTGGACAGCTTGAAAAGTTGTCTCGGGTTGAGTGGAATATGCTGGGTGCAGGCATTTGAAGTCCTCAAGGAGATGCAGACAAACACGAAGCCTGAGCCCTTATCAAGTGACAGATGCACGGCTTTATTGCAAACCTGCATTTGGCTTGTTGATCACCTGAGGCTTCATCCGGACGAAGTGACCTACAACACTCTCCTTGACGGCTGTGCAAGATATGGCCTTTTTGATCGTGGCCTGGACTGCCGGCATTGCTTAAAAGCGCAAGCATGCTTGCTTATTGACCAATGTGTGATCTGAATGTTTCTTTCAGCATTCATTAGCCCTGTGCTGCAGGAAGTGTTGGCAGACATGCGCAAGGGAGGCGTGGCTCCGAGCAACTACACGCTGTCCGTGATTGCAAAGTTGGCCAACAGAAGCAAGAAGCCGAAGAAGGCCTTCGAAATGGTGGAGCAATTGCGCAAGGAGTTCGGGCTGAAGCTCAACATGCACGTGTACAACAACTTGATCCATGCGGCCACTTGCGACTCAGACATGGCCAAGGCACAGGAGGTCTTTGCCACAATGCTGGAGAGTCGGGTCCGCCCGGATGGGCGGAGCTACACGCTTTTGCTCCGGTTTTGCATCAGCCAAAAAGCCCAGCTGGCGGCGATGGCCCTGTTGCGAGCGGCCATGGGACTGAACCAGGACAAGGATGAGCTGACTGAAACTTCGGGCGAGGAGGGCTTGCATCCCAAACTCCTGAAAGTATTCCTCCGGCCTTGCTCATGGGCCGCCGCACCATTGCGAGGCAACAGCGCTTTGAAAGATGACGTGATCCACGACGTCTTTGACTTCCTGTCGCGCTCCTTTGAGAACACTCACAGCTTGCCAAAGCTTTTGGCGGACGTCCAGAAGTCTATGCCGTCCTTGAGGCTTCCCAAGTCTACGACCACCCGGATCTTCTCAAGGTCCTAAGTGGCCCTTCCAATACATGTACACACGAATTTGCTGGGCTGTGTCCCTTCGACTCGGATGGCGAAGAGCCTGAGCAAAACGCGTGTTCGTGCGCTCCTTGCAGCTCGGGTTAGGTACAGCTGTTTTGTTTCGATACATGAGGCTGACATTTTGGTCTCCAGACTCCCAATTGATGCAGGTTTTCAGTGACGGCGCCAACGGCATTCCGCAGGTCCGCATGTGATGCCTGAACTCAGAGAAGCCATGCCCGTAATATGGCCAAGGGAAGGAAACAGTGACTAGGCACGAGGATTTGCAGGAAAGTTCGAGGGTGCCAGACTCTGCATTGGGAAACTGCTTTGTGAATTCCTCTGCCTCAGACCCGAGGAGCCTATGCGGGCCAGGCACTGGCTCTTCGCAGCTGCAGCCCACGGTCACAAGGACCTGGCTGACAACCTCTCCACTTCGCAGGCTGCTTTCAATTCAGACTTGGACCAATCTTAGTCAACCAAACACGACCCCCGAGCCCCCCAGTCAAGGGAAGCAGACTTCTTTAGTTCCAGAAGTTCTTGTTAAAACTTGATCAGCATCTTCCAGGGAGCCACCGGTGCCAGACCAGCTTCACGCGTTGCATTTTCCTCAAGACTCTTCAGTTGGCCTCCAAGAATTGTGATATTTGAAGTGGTCATGTGCAGGATGCGCTGGACCAAGTTGACTGGTCAGCAACCTTCCGGCCTCGTGCAGAGCAGAGGCAGGGTATTTGAACTTGTCGACGCTTGAGGCTGCATGGGGCACTCAAGCGTTGGGATACTCTTGCTTGCTTGTTAGCATTCATGCTTGCTGTGTCCTAAGAGAAGCGGGCGACCCCGTGCTGACATGGGGACTGGCAGATGGTGCATCAATCCAGTGCAGTGCAGGTGGATTGACCTGATGGAAGGTCATGGGTGGCTGTGACTCTGCTCTTGGTTTCTGTTTCACCGTGCACAAAAGTTGTGCATTGCTAGATAAAAAGGGCTGAGCGGCACCGTGCTTTCTTAGCGAAGGGCGCATTTCGTGGGAGGAAACGGAGCATTAATGGCTTTCCGTGAAGGTGCCAGACATGTGTACAGTTTGCATGGCAGTTTGGCGAAGCTAAACTTGGCTTTTAAATATGTTCTTCGAGCAGGGTGCCAAACCATTTCCAGTACTGTGTGTGCCAGGGTTGGATCTGCTTGATGGAGCAAACTTCTCAAAGAGGCCTGATGAAGGAGGCCCTTATCTACCTCTGCCAATGCCGACCAAACCAAAGGCAAAATGATTCACAGCAGGTCGGCGATTGACGGGCAAGGGCTGATCAGCAATCTCGCGGGATGGAATGGGTTCCTGTGCCGTAGCTTGTAAGTACCAGTCAAATATGTTTGGGATGGATAGCCTTCTTCCCAGTCAATCAATTTGATGGGGGCTCTGTGCATGAATGGGGCAGTGGGCTCCAAATTACTCAAAATCACGCAACAAGCTGCGGCCCAATGCACGCACCACAAGCCGGCTCACTCTTGGGGGCAGCGGATTTCCCCTTTGCCAAAGCCATCAGTGGCATTGTCTGTTAAGTTCTTAGTAGATGCCCAGGGCGCATGACCAGACACCCATGCGGCATGCAGCAAACCAAATATCAAAGATTCGCATTCGCATGTTGGCCTCGGCTTCCCAGCAATGGGTCAAGCATCATTGGCCACGTTCTATGCCCATCGCTTACGTTTTGTGCCTGATTTGCTTACGTTTATTTGCTACACAATGCAGCTCCTGCTTGTTGGAAAGGGCCAATATCTCTGTTGACAGGTCGTTTTTGCCATTCTCACGATCTACCTCAACCTAGAGCTGCTGCCTGAATGTGGCGTGAGACGACGCTGCACTTTGTTTTTTTGTAAGCCTTGTTCTTTCTGGCCAACCAGGTCTATCGGCACCTGGAATGCCAACGCCGTTTTCCGAACCATCTCCTCAGATCGCAGCTTACGACTTGCAATGCATTGGGAGCAAGCTTTGCCTGTTTGAACATCCTTGACATGTATGCTGCAGGGCACCCGTCGCCAATCGTTTTGGATTTGCAGATCCAAGTTGCCTTAGGGTTGATGCTGTAGGCATTGTCTGGCATTCCGTTCGAGACTTCGCAGAATGACACCAGGCCGTCTGACTTATGAGCCTTGCAGTGCATCGTGCCAGTGCTTTGCCTATCCAGGCACCTGAGCGAGGTACAGGACCATCTTTGACTGCAAGCGCTTTGCTTGCTGTGCCAACTGCGCGTTTGCAGGATCCCGAGCAAGTGTATTTCTGGCTAAAGGCGGGGCTCCAGCCGAGCAATCGAGCTGTCGAAGTTGCCTGCTCAGTCCTCTTTCAAGCCCGCGGTTTTCGGCGAACAAGAGTCCATGTCGTAAGAGCCCAGCGTTGGCAGATGGCTCAGGGGCATTGCTTGTGACTTAGGATTCGAGCTGGCTGGGGAAACCTGTCACACTGGACCGGCGCTGCTCTGACTGACTGCCATGACTGCTATGTGCCATGCTTCAGACGCATGGCGCATACTTTGTTGCACGCTGAAGGTGCAACGCAAAAGAGCCTATACCTATCCACGCAAAGTCTAGCCTTGTCAAACAGTTTGCAGATCTTCAGACTTGCAGGAGCTACAACATGACTCCAGCGACCATTGGCAGCTTCAACCGCATACTACTGGCCTGGGGCTTTGAACAGCGGAGGCATGTATGTTCAGTTGCCAAACTCAGACACGCTTCACCTTCAAGCGCTGGGCTGTGGAGCCGGTAGTTGGACAGCTGGGCACACAGTGGTTTCTTTGCGGCTGTTCGACACAAGCAACTGCGCGCAGGTTTCAATCCACCACCCCGCGTCGACTTGCAGGCAGAGCTTTGGGGCGATCAATTTTGCGCAAAAATCAGACTCTTGAAGCCAAGCTTGAAATAACGATGTGACGATGTGAGAAAGATGATTCCTTCGAGTTGCGAGACCGATGGAGTCTACCTTGCGCAGGTAGCTCGATGAAGCTTGATCCATTTTCTGTCAATACAGCAGAGGAGACCAGCGCGGGCAAGTGGGTGAAAGACTTTGCTTGAGGAAAATCGCAAAGTGAGCCACAAGGTTTGGCAACGGACAGTCCCAGAACCAATCAGCCGCGGCTGCCCTTTGTGTTCATTGGTTTGAGTGGACCCCTTTACCAGGTCTTGATTGTGACTCAAGTGGTGTAAGGTTGAAGAATATGCACGCTGTGTGAAGAGGGTGGCTGCATCTTTTGCAGTTGTTCAAGGGAAAGTGAGCAGGAGGGCAGTATTTGGACGTTTCTCTAGTTTGGACATCTTCCCGCGTGGTTTCAGGACAAAGCCACCCTGTGCTTGCCTGGGACAAATATGTGGAGGGCTTGGCATTTCCTAGCAAGTCGAGTGATGCTTTCGACCATGCCTGTTGATACACTGAGCATGGTGCAGCTTTTCTGTTTGCGTTTCCCTCAGGCATTTTTTTCTAGAAAGTTGATCCCCAGCAGGGGGCACAGGTCCTCGCAGGTTGGTCACAGAATAATCACCAGACAACACTGGTGCTTTACTGATTCATCGCACTCGGCCTTTTACCGGGCGCCTTTGCGGTCAGACCCAAGCCAAAGCCGGCGTGGGAGAGCAGAGCGACTGACCTAGGTCCTCAGCCAATCTTACAGAGGAATGCTTCCAGTGGGCAGAGCTCAGTAGCTTCGTGCCTCCGGCGGGTTTGGTCTTCCCCACTGCCACGTGCTATGGTTAACTCGTTGTGTAATGTTCATGGTCAACCGTAAATGAATTTATCGAAATGCGTTGACATGGTTCTTTGGAGGCCTTATCCAATACTCGACCGTCTGAAGTAAGCGAACAAGTGTTTTGACGGATGGTTGTATTTTCCACGAGTTTCCTTGAAGTTTCCCAGCTCCCCACCAAAGGAGTGCCGACACCCGATCAAAACCCTCTCCAAATCGGACCCTAAACGCACTCTGAAAATAGATTCAGCGAACCCTATGCAAGTCGCGGCCGATCCTGACTCAGAACTCTGTTGCAGCCGAAGCAAATCTTAAACCGGCGGCAACCGATCCTGAATCAGGTCCACATCAATCCCCTTCACAGAACTCAAACCCTAACCTTATCCAACGTGGGGTCGATGAACACCAAACAGAATGGCAGAAGGACAAAAGTTGCAAACATGGAACACAAAACAATCCAGCAAACCCTTCTCCACAAGGAGATACTGAGCAACCCATGAAGCAAATACCTTTCACAAGCCGAGCAAAGTACCCTGAACATTTTAGGATACTATTTGGAGGTGGAAAACATGCCCCCGGCAGCCATGTGCACGCGAAGGAACGCACGCTGAGACACGCAGAACACATGTTCATGCAGATTCCGAGGCGCACGCAGCCGCGTGCACAAGCGCACGACGGAGGGCGTTACTGTTAAAAGAGTTCGTCACATTTTTTTGCGACTCATTGGAGAGCTTGTGTGAGGCGCATCGTGGACAGTCCTGAGCCTGATGAGGATTTGGAAGCCCAAGAGCTGCGAGTCATTCTCGCGCGATGGTCCATCAAGAGAACATCCTAACATGGTCAAGTCTGGAACCAACGGCGGGTGCTATTGTGGTTGGACACAAGTGGACTGTGAAAGGTTCAAGTCTCGCTGAGCCATCGACTCGAAGACGAGCTATCAGCTGAGACTGGCAACACGTCTTCCTCAGATGCAGGAGCGGATGCTGATACGCGCGGATCAGACTGTAGGAGGGGAGCGAATCCCATGGATGCCGCGCCATCCAAGTACGCAGAAGATGTACTGAGACTTCCAAGCGGGAGTGGCTTATTCAGGCAATGCAGGAGAATGTGTGAGGGCGGGTGGAAAACTGGGTCATGACACCAGCCTGCCCAGGGGAGAGTAGCTTGTTCTCCTTTCTGCGCGATAGATCAAGCGACTGCTTGCGTCGGCTGCGCGCCGCCCTGTCTGGTTCTTTGCCGTGCCCCCTGTGTGTCACCTACTGTCCGCCGAGGATGTAGACGGAGAAGCCGCGCGGAAAACGATGACAGAGAGTATCGCGTTGGTCGACGCTGTGTTTTTTCCGACAGGACATCCTGTGCACTCAGAGTCGCTAAAGGCGTTTGCGGGTCGTGTGCTCGGCGAGCGTGGAGGTGAACTGCAGTGCGTGGCGGGTGGTCAAGCGCCTGAACGTTGACCTGTCGGTCACGCGCAGGAGTGTGCCGCCTCCGTTGAGGTTCTCGTGTTACCAGCAAGGCAAGGCTTGCGGCGCCGCTTCACTGGGAGAACCGACGAAGGAGATGGCGAGATTGCTTGCGGACGACGAAGGGGGCGATGGTGATGATGGTGGAAAGGGTGATGGTAGAGATAGCCTGATGGTGCGGACAGAGAAGAAACAAAAGGAGAAACAGGGTGGTTACGGTCCTACCGCCCACGTGGGAGGGTGGGCCAAGATGAAGCAAGGCAGGAAGGGCAACGATCAGTGCTGACGCTGCGCGCTGAGACGAGTGAGCTGAACCTGTGTTCCTCAACTTTCTGCGCGTCGAATTCGAAGAGCGCCGCAAAAATGAAACGGCGCTTCGGCTGCCACTTCCGACCCCGCGACAAGGGGCCGTCATGGGCGTTTTCGATTGAGCTTGCTGTGCGCTTAGTGCGCGTGTTTTGGTTAGGTTAGTGTGTTGCCATCAACTCGGCTGATTGATTGCAGCCAGCCGCCAAGTCCAGCGTGCGAGTTGCGTAGTGGCTGTAAGCCCACACCTCAGCCAGTAGGGATGTGTGTCTGAACGAGCCAAAGGTCATTCCACCAAAGGAAATTTAATTAGAAACTTCCGTAGTACGAAAAGTGGAGTCACCCATATGCGTGACCCGCAAAGAGTATCTCTGTTTGAGCACGGTCTGCCACGGTCGCCGCGGTCTCGTCGCGGTCTCGGAACGGCACGCCCGTGCAAGGTTTCGCTAGGTCTGAGTTGCTTGGCAGGCGCAGGCCTTTCGCAAGACGCAGATTTCGTGGCAGGTGCAGCGTTTTGTTCTCATGGGCGTCAGAATTCGTGACACGCGCAGCGCTTGGGGACAGTCAGTCGCGCGGTTTGCAAGTCGTACGGGAGTAGAGGCGCGAACTGCAGCATGCCGATTTTCGCCGAAGGCGCCGGACTTTCGCACTCTGAGGTGCAGCAGTTGCAGCGCTTTCGCAAAGTCGAGTTTGGCAGCGCTGTGCAGATTTCACGGCGGGCGCAGCGCTTTCTCAAGACCAGTTACAGGTTTGTTGGCAGGCGTAGCGCTTTCGCTTTGTCAATTACAGATTTCGTGGCAGGCGCAGCGCTTTCTCAAGGTCAAGTGCAGATTTCATGGCAGGCGCAGCGCTTTATCAAGTGTCCGCAGCCGACTCGAGGTCGTCTACAGACTCCAGCTCATCGTGAGTGTGCTGCTACGCGCGCGAAAAAGGAGAGCGCGTCCCTTCCTGCGTCGCCGACGCGTTGACGGAAGAAGTGGCCAACGCGAAGCTTCATTGGGCGGGGAGTTTACAGCAGTCAACGCCCGTCACGCGATCTTCCAAGCCTTCACCTGCAGGCAAGCCAGAAACGGTTTCTCTTCAGAGTCAAAGTCGACCATGGGCGGTCGCCGCAGAGAACAAGGCGTCTTCTCGCAGTCATTTCTGCGCAGGGCGTGACGCTCTATGGACAGCTGTGGCGCTGGCAGCCAGGAGCTGCTCGCCAGCTTAGCCAAGCGTGACGCCGTGCGCGCGAACCAAACGCTTGCGAGATGAACTTGCCTTGCCTAGCAACGTGGCTGCCGCTCGCGCGGATGCCCTTGATGTCAGAGTTTGGCGCGCCTCGTGGTGCGCCCCTTTCTATAAGCTTCCCAGTTCTGCTGGGGTGTGCGGCATGCCTGGTATTTTGTTCGTCGCGCGAAGAATATTTGCCAGCTTGAGCTGTTGAGTGATGGCGCGACGCGTGATCACAGGGATCGTTCCCTTGAACGTGGGGGGTGTGAATGGAGCATTCCGCGCGATGGTCCAATGAGGGAACATCCTGTTATGGTCACCAGCCTGGAATCAACGGCGTTGCATTTTGGCTCACGTGCATCGCGACAAGCCCCATCCCCCCATGGGCCCATAGCTCCTGTAAAAAGTGCGCTCTCAAAGGGCCAGTGACTTGCTCGCTGCCAGGATTGTTGCGTACTCACTCATGGCCTATTCGCAGAATCAGGGTTCCAAGTTAACCAATGGCGCAAACATTCCCCGTCAAACTAGTTGTGACCAGAGCACGTGTGGGGGCATGCCAGGACAACTGCGGAGGCTACACTTCCTTCTTTGACCCCATGGACGGTTCGTCGGCATACGATGCTTCTAGCTCAGAGTTGCAAGACTGTTGATGTCGTGGAAACATGGGCAATCTTGCAAGTGGTAGCCTTCCAAAGGGTGAGCCAGAGGACGGCTTTAGGAGCAGTTGTTGTTGCCAATGGACATGTCCATGTTTTGCAACAAGAGTCATGCTTGCACCTTCTCAGAATGACGCAACCGCGCGAGGCGCTCTTGGAAAAGATGTATCAAACTGGGGTGTTCGACTTGCGACTGGGCACCTTCACTGTGCGCCGCCCAGCCTTCAGCTTTCTCAAACACTACATCTTTTGCAAGGTTGACTTCATCGTCTATAATGCCAATGTTGACACTCAACGGCATTCATGGCTTCGGAGTGACATGAGTTTCATGCAAGGAGATGTCTGGGTTGGAAGATGGATGTTGGAGGACATATTTTGGATGTCATGCAAGGAGATGTTCATGCAGTACGTTCAAATTTTCAAGTTTGACTTCTCTGGCGGTATCCAGATGCAGCAGGTCTGACATTTTCTTTGCAAGCGCACGATGCCTCAACATACTTTGGTTGGAACATAGTGCTGCCAATACTTTTCGTGCCAGATTGCACGGAGCTTCAACTTGAACGTGTTCAACACGTGGGATGCCTGGTTTTCGATTTGAGTTCGAGGGAAGCTCCCTAAGTCGGTGGCGCTGCAGAATTTAGGTCTGAGTCAAAGTACATGATGTTTTACGTCATAAGAGTCACCTGTGCCGAGCTTATGGGCTGGACAGCATTGAAGCACGGAGTTCAACATGTAGCCACTGCTTGAAGGCGTCGTGATGTTGGTCATCTTTCTTCTCATTGAGTTGCATGCTCAGTTTGTTCCTGGCGGGATGCTGTGCCTGAACCCGAACATCCAGACACATCTCTCTGTTTGGGATCCCTTAGTGTTCCAGAGTCAGTTTTGGTGGCTGGTGTTGGTATATCAAAGGTTCCGACGGATGTGGGACCTCGGCTTTTTTGCCCACTTCAGGCTGGTGTGAATGCGTCAGATCAACCCTCCCCAATCGTAAACTGTTCCGTAGCATGGTACAGCTGCGCATTTCTTGGACTTGGTAGGCGACAGGGTGCTGTCACCGACATGGTGTCCATCACTATCTCTCTTGGTGTGTTCCTATCCTATTGGGTGATTGAGCAAATGCCGCCGTTCAAGTCTTTCCAGTTCCAGGACGGGCTTAACTTGGCTGAGGAGTTGCTTGCATCAGTGCTTCAGTGCTGCCTTCCATAGGACTTGGTGGACGTTAACACTAGGGACTCTTGTCAGCAAGCGATGCCCTTGCCCGATGCTCTTAGATATCTTCCAAGCTTTGTGAGAGACTTTGGCACATGCGACGAGGCGGCAACATACGTCTCCCTGTGCGATGTAGCGAGGACTCTGCAGGAGTTTGTGCACTGTGTAGCCAGCTGTGTTGCTGTTGCCGGCCCTCTTTTTACCCGCCAAGATTTTAAGTCCTGTGTCCCCGCTTTGGGGCAGCCTATCCCGTTTGTTGGAGTCATGTCAGGGCCTGGTTGGTCCAATCTCTCACTTGCATCCCAGGACCAAGGCCTGCTAATAGCAGCCTGGCAGCAGCCGAAAGGGTCCTTGGATCATTTTGGATCCCTCATGCCTCACCCGAGGCATTCAATCTGCTGGTGGTGAGTGTGAGGGCCTCAGTGGCTCACAGTCGGCTCACAGTGACACTCGGGCGCCTGGGAGTTGCCCTCTGCTCTATATAATCATCGTGAGTCCCCCATTCTCAACACAGATCACACGTTGCATCCAGGATGTTTCTGGGGTATGAAGGCATGCATTGTGCTTTCCAACCAGAGGCAGGAGAAGTTTTTCTGGGAGGAAGGTTGGACCAGCCCGCTACCTGTTGATGCAGAGCTTGATTCCATGCATGCTGGCTGCTTGGCCTTGTTGATTCTCAAGCAGTTTGGCTATGAGCATTCAATCTGGTGCATGAGATGCAGCCTCTAGCCCACAAAAAGGCCCATGCCGTTATCTTCCTAACCCTCAGGGACGACTCTGCGGAGTGCTTTCTCAGCCTTCGCCCTCCGAGTTGCGGACTGTGAGCCTGGTCTCGGGGCTGCACAGCAACCTGGGCCTGATTTTGAAGGCCCGTTTGGGCAAACCGGCTGTGCAAAAAGACGTGTTTGGTCTATATGTGGCATATGTGCGGAATGGGTGTTCCACCGATATGGAATAAGAATGGCCATGAGCGAGCTGGCGACAAATTGGTTCACAATGCTTATCTGCTCAACCCAAGTTGAACACCATCGGTTTGAGCTGCTGATATTGTGCCTTGCCGATCGCGGTGGTACGGCAGGGCATTGGCCCGTCTTTAATGTGGGGATGTCTTCTGTACTTTGAATCCTCCAGGTGTGGATTGTCCTGAGGGGGGATGGCAAATAGCTCAAGTCTGAAAGGCACAGAAAAGGCTCCCCTTGGGGTCGACATCCAAATAGTCTTCGGTTGCAGGTGATCGGCGTTTCCCTGCCCAACTTCGCAGCGTTCATCACTTTGTTCTGCATGCTGCAGGCCCGACAGCCGTCCTTTTCAGACGCCATGAGAGGAAGGCCCAGCAGTCGGATTCAGGTTTTGAGCAGGGACTCCGAACATTTGGGCGCAGCTGCAGAATTTAGGGAGCCTCTCAAGCTCAGGATCCCCCGCAAGCCAAAGTTAGAGAAGTTCTCGCTTTCGACTGTACCTCTCCAAACTTGAGTGCAGATGGGCTTTGTGCTGATGAGCTACTTCGCCTTCGGATCAGGGTGCCCTCCGGCCGCTGAGGCGTCTACAGGTAATTTGGAGAGGACACAATCCAATACCTCCATTGTCCTCTTGGGAGCTAGAGAAGCGAAGTCATCTCTTGCGTGGTGGGGTTTGGACGCCAGGTACGCAGGCATGAGCACCCTGGGGCTCTGCATCTACAGAAGCTTTTCCATGTTGAATGGTCAAGTGGTGCCTCTGCCTGAATTGGGTCAAGCATTGCGTGCACCGGTCAACCATTTTTGCTCGCTGCACATATCACCACGCCAATTATCTGCCAGCGCCATTCCGAGGTCTTCAATGAAATTGTGCGTGTGGATGAAATCCTTGGCGTGATCTACTTTTTCGTGGGGCGCTCATGATGTCATGCGTTTTTTGACACATTTGTGGAAGTTCAAACCTTGACCATGGCAGTGCAGCTTAACTCAGTCCTTCTACGTCCTGTTCTACCTGGTGTTGATCAACATTTTTGTGACTCTTTTGATGAGTGGCAAGCCCGGCTATCTTTAGAAGCCAGGATTTTGTTTGGCTGCAGAGCCGAATCGTCAATCTTGTTGAGTGGCCAGCCCTGACATCACAGTGCGGCAAATGCCAGGCTATGATGTTGTGGATTATGAGCTCCAAAAGAAGAACCAGAACGAGCAGGCTGAATCTCATCCATGCTCCATTCCCTTCTAGAGCAACTGCTCACCACTGCGCAATCCTTATTTTTCTCCCTTCTGGGACACTTCAGGAGAAGAATCCCATCGTGCTCATCTTCGAGGAGCTGAAGGCCGATGTGGCTGGATGCTTGGAGCGTTACACGTATGGGTTTGTCGCATGGGCTATGGACCCCCTGAATTGCATTTGTTTCCGTTTGGTTCTCCGAAAAGGGTTTGCGTCAAGAAAACGGTAATGAAGTGTTGTCCTTTGTTGTGGAAATTCCAGGCCAATGTAAGATTAAGACCAGATACTCCTCCGAGGGCACCAGGAGAAGGGCGTCTGGGATCGTATTTTGGAATGTCAGTGCCGGCCGCGGTGCCGGTGAGCTAAGGTCGGAAACATCCTCAAGTATGGCACCACGGTCATCAAGCTTCTTCACCGCACTGAGGGTTGCGTGGCGAGGCGAGTAATTCTGCGCCGAGAATGCAAACACAGCCGTGCTGAGGTATGTTCGAATTTGCTTGGACCCGATTGTGGTATCCATCAAGGTGCAAAGATTGCAGGAAGTCAGCTAGTTGAGTTGACTGCATGGTCCCTTTGGCTTGGATTGGTCAGGAGGACATTGCAGAATTGGGGGGCGGGGCGGGGTAGACGGGCTTGTTCTATGGGAGGCACCGTCGCAGGTGTTTTTTCCAAGCCGCTGAAAACGGGGCTTCAAATCGGGCATTCACCCGAGCTTGGCAGGCCTGTTGCTTTTGCTCGCTGCCGAGCATTCCAACCAACTTCAGGCCAGGCAACTCCTCACCAGTCTCCTTCGCTCCGATTGAACAGCTGGTAATGGCTCGACCTGATGGTTCGGGCAAGGTTAATGCTCTTGGATCAGAGCAGCCTGTAGTTTGATTGTTTCACATTACTCGTGTGGGACATGGTGTCGAGTAAACTTTTATAATTGAGTTGTCTGGGAAGTTTGCTGCTGCAGGGGAGCCAAGCTGGAAGCTCAGCACTTTGTTGGTTGCTTCACGTCGCACGCTGATCTGCGCTTGTTGGCCTGGTATAGACAATATGCTTGTGGCTGAGACGACAAGCGACGCTGAACGACATTCAGGTGGAGCAAGACACATCGGAGGACAATTCGGGTATCGAATGCCAAGCAGTTTTGACAAGAATTGACCCGAATCAACATCTGGTTAAACAGCAAACACCATCATGGTTGTTTGCTTACGCATTGAGGATGCGCGCCGCTAGTCTCAACGGCGGAAGCGGATTTACGCGTGCTATTCGATGCTTTATTTTTGTTCTACTATTTTGAGATGGTGATGATGGCATCTTTTTTTCTATCGGTGATCCTAGCTCTATGGAGGGCCCAAGCACCGGTGGGCCCATGACGCAAGCTTTCACCAAACCGCTGCTTTGGTCGTGCCCTGGGCAAACCACTATATCTCGCAAGGGCCTGGGCTGACGAAAACAGATGTGCCCCAGGACCCAGACCCGAGTGGGCAGTTTAGACACAACCTGGTTGAGTTCTCGAGCATGATCGCCAGCGCCTTGGAACACAGCACGAGCCTCGCTCCGGCCAAGCGCTTGGTTGTTGCCCACCCTTGGACTGCTAGGGTATCGCCCCCTCCGCAAAGAAAAGGTGGGGTTCCATTGAATTTGTTTTGAAAGGACAAACAAGCAAGGAAGCAAGCAAGCAAGCAAACGAGCACGCACACACCACGCAAACACACAAACACAGTCACACGCAATCACAGAATCACAGAATCACAGAATCACACAATCACACAATCACAAACACGCAAAGACACAAACACACCAACACGCAAACACGCAACCACCCACACACACACACCAACACACAGGCAACAAAAGACATAAACACACAGACACACAAACAAGCACACAACACACAAACACACAATCAAGTAGTCACACAAACACACCAACAGACACATTCACAGAAACACAAGCACACAATCACACAATCACACAAGCACACAATGACACAATCACACAAGCACACAACTCACACACACATACACAAGCACAAACACAAACACAACACACACACACACACACACAAACTTTAGAGCCTCCGGCTCAGTCCGCCGACATTGTCCTCTCCCTTTTCTCCTTCTTCCTCTCTTCCTTGTCTCCCTTGTGTGTTCTGTCGTCCTCTCTCCCTCCCTCTGCTCCCATCCTCCCCATCCCCCCAAGCCTCTCTCTCCCCAATCTCCCTCTCTCGTATGTATGCATGCATGTGGGAGTCGTTCTAAAGGTCCTTGTAAGGAGTTTAGTATTCGGTGACCATCGGTGTTGGTTGAGGTAGCTCCGCGAAAGATTCGCGATGGAGTTGCGAAAGTAACTTTTTTTCTCGCGAAAGTTTTGCGTAACTGTATCTGGTTAATCAATGATATGTGGAACCGTTCATCTTTTCTGCTGAGCCTTCCTTCTATTCTGATTAAAACACTTTGTTGATGTTGCGCAAATTAAGCCTGGTGAGGCTACAGTTTGATACCCTGCTTGGCTGGTTAGTGCTCCAAGCCTGTGTATGTGTGTCTGTGGGTGTTAGTCGGTGGCTTTCCGCTCTGAAACGTGGGTGATTTTTCGCGAAAGTTCCGCGAAAGATCCGCGAAAGCCCGCGCGAAAGCGCAGGCTTCGATTGCAAGGGGAGGTATAGTCTGAGCGCCGATCTAGTCAGTATACTAGCTTGGTACTGGAAATCTGCGACTTCAAGCTGGAGCTGCACGGCGAACGAAACGCTGCGACTTTCCAGCCGGCGCATGTCATGTGCTACCCCTGTGATGAAAAGTTGCGACTTTACAGCTGGAGTTGGGAAATCGCCATTTCGCTTACAACGCTGGCACTTAAAAGCTGCGATTCTCCGACTCGAGAAATGAAAAGAGCACGGCGATGAATCCGCGAAAGATTCGCGAAAGTAACTTTTATATTCGCGAAGAATGGCCGTTTCGAGACAAAGGAATTTAGATCAACCACCCCCATGTATGTATGTATGTATGTATGTATGTATGTATGTATGTATGTATGTATGTAATGTAATGTAATATGTATGTATGTATGTATGTATGTAATGTATGTAATGTAATGTAATGTATGTATGTATGTATGTATGTATGTATGTATGTATGTAATGTATGTATGTATGTATGTATGTATGTATGTATGTATGTATGTATGTATGTATGTATGTATGTATGTATGTATGTATGTATGTATGTAATGTATGTATGTATGTATGTATGTATGTATGTATGTGTATGTATGTATGTATGTATGTATGTATGTATGTATGTATGTATGTATGTATGTATGTATGTATGTATGTATGTATGTATGTATGTATGTATGTATGTATGTATGTATGTATGTATGTATGTATGTATGTATGTATGTATGTATGTATGTATGTATGTATGTATGTATGTATGTAATGTATGTAATGTATATGTAATGTATGTATGTATGTATGTATGTATGTATGTATGTATGTATGTATGTATGTATGTATGTATGTATGTATGTATGTATGTATGTATGTATGTATGTATGTATGTATGTATGTATGTATGTATGTATGTATGTATGTATGTATGTATGTATGTATGTATGTAATGTATGTATGTATGTATGTATGTATGTATGTATGTATGTATGTATGTATGTATGTATGTATGTATGTATGTATGTATGTATGTATGTATGTATGTATGTATGTATGTATGTATGTATGTATGTATGTATGTATGTATGTATGTATGTATGTATGTAATGTATGTATGTATGTATGTATGTATGTAATGTATGTATGTATGTATGTATGTATGTATGTATGTATGTATGTATGTATGTATGTATGTATGTATGTATGTATGTATGTATGTATGTATGTATGTATGTATGTATGTATGTATGTATGTATGTATGTATGTATGTATGTATGTATGTATGTATGTATGTATGTATGTATGTATGTATGTATGTATGTATGTATGTATGTATGTATGTATGTATGTATGTATGTATGTATGTATGTATGTATGTATGTATGTATGTATGTATGTATGTATGTATGTATGTATGTATGTATGTATGTAATGTAATGTATGTATGTATGTATGTATGTATGTATGTATGTATGTATGTATGTATGTATGTATGTATGTATGTATGTATGTATGTATGTATGTATGTATGTATGTATGTATGTATGTATGTATGTATGTATGTATGTATGTATGTATGTATGTATGTATGTATGTATGTATGTATGTATGTATGTATGTATGTATGTATGTATGTATGTATGTATGTATGTATGTATGTATGTATGTATGTATGTATGTATGTATGTATGTATGTATGTATGTATGTATGTATGTATGTATGTATGTATGTATGTATGTATGTATGTATGTATGTATGTATGTATGTATGTATGTATGTATGTATGTATGTATGTATGTATGTATGTATGTATGTATGTATGTATGTATGTATGTATGTATGTATGTATGTATGTATGTATGTATGTATGTATGTATGTATGTATGTATGTATGTATGTATGTATGTATGTATGTATGTATGTATGTATGTATGTATGTATGTATGTATGTATGTATGTATGTATGTATGTATGTATGTATGTATGTATGTATGTATGTATGTATGTATGTATGTATGTATGTATGTATGTATGTATGTATGTATGTAATGTATGTATGTATGTATGTATGTAATGTAATGTATGTGTAATGTATGTATGTATGTATGTATGTATGTATGTATGTATGTATGTATGTATGTATGTATGTATGTATGTATGTATGTATGTATGTATGTATGTATGTATGTATGTATGTATGTATGTATGTATGTATGTATGTATGTATGTATGTATGTATGTATGTATGTATGTATGTATGTATGTATGTATGTATGTATGTATGTATGTATGTATGTATGTATGTATGTATGTATGTATGTATTTCCCGCAAAAAAAACACGGTTTTTCCAGCGTTTTCGCAAAGAGGACGTCCAAAAACATTGAGTTTTTCCAGATTTTCGGCAAAAGGATGCAGGAAGCCCAAGCCAGCAAAAAAGCCGGCAGGGGGAATCGAGCCTGGGACCCCTGTTTTGCGACACCGGCTCCCCGAAGACTACGTTTAGTGGAACGTCATCAAATTGCCGCGCGGTACGTGGGGGACCCCCCCCCCCAAAAAAAAAAACCTACGTAATAGACGTCGGGCGGGGGGGGGTTAGGGGAGGGGTTATCCTTTAGTAAGTGTCCGACACGCCGAGCAATGTCGGCGGACATACACACATACACCAACACAGAAGGACATAAACACACAAACGCATCACCACACAATCGCACAATACACACACAACGCACACAACGCACACACAACACACACACACACCAACACACACACAAACAGACAACACAACACACACACACAAACGCAATTTACAAACACACAAACACAAGACACACACACAACACAGCATCGCGCAATCACACAATCACGCAATCACGCTAACACACAAACACACAAAACACGCACAAGCACAAACTCACAAACAAACAAATAAGCAAACAATCAAATGAATAAATAAGCCTGATAGAAGCCACGAACCCAAATGCAAAAGATGGCCTTGGGAACGTGCATTTCGTCAACTCGAGCAATGTTGTCCAGCCGGAGCCATGCTTTGAGCGACGCTTCTGAGCTTCCGACCGACCACTTCTATACATGATTCAACGCAACACTCGTAAGCGACTTTTATCACTGACGCTGTTGAGAGACGACAGCTTGAGCGACACTTCTGAGCAACAACTTGAGCGACAGTTCTGAACACACGTACCCGCTGTATTTCAGTTTACGCTCCTAAACGACACCTCTGATTGACACATCTAAGCGTCAAGCGCCAATCCTGAAGCCATGCTTCTGAGCGACAAACTGCTGCAAACTGAGCGACGCCTCTGCGCACACTTAAGCGACACTTCCGAGCAACACTTCAATTTACACACACACACACATGTAAGCAACGCTTCTCATCTGAGGGTCGCTCCTGAGCGACAGTTCGGGCGACGTATCTACACAAGTATTTGAGCGACACTTCTGAGGGACACTCCTGAGCGACACTTCTGAACGACACCTCTGAGCAACACTTTCGAGCAACACTTCTGAGCGATATTCCTGATCGACGCTGCTGTCACACCTTTGAGCGACACTTTTGAGCCACATGCGCTTCCACACGCGCATCAGCAACACTTCTGAGCGACACTCCTGAGCGACAGTTCGGGCGACGTATCTACACAAGTATTTGAGCGGCACTTTTGAGGGACGCTCCTGAGGGACACTTCTGAACGACGACGCGACGCTTCTGAGCGACGCTTCTGACCCGCACTTCTACACACACGTCAGAGACACTCTGAGCGACGCTTCTGAGCGACGCGACACTGCGCCGCGACACTTCTGAGCGAACGACACTCTGAGCGACACTTCTGAGCAAGAC